TCAATGGTTCATGTTTCTACTGCTTACTCACATTGTCCCAGATTGGAAGTCGAAGAAAAAATATACGACTGCCCATTATCTTACGAATATGTTCAGGCTGTATTAGAAAAAATCGGCAATGAAGAAGCACATTTGCTAACACCAAGGTACACCTATCATTAATTTGTTAATAATATAATTATTTTTGTTTATCTCTATTTATTAAAATATTCGTTTCATACTTAAAGGATTGTCTGGTGTAGGCATATTTACAGATATTAGCAAATATTTCTTTGTTTGTAAAAGTACATTTTTATCAGTTCCCTTCAAGCACTGATGATGTGATGATTAGTATAGTTATGCAAGCGCAGTATCAACTTTTCGTAAAACAGATATCAACTTTGCACCTAACCAGCTTTCTGTTATCTCTTTTTTCCCAAATTATCGACTAAGTCAGTTATCTCTGGTGATCAGCAATTATTTATTTTTATTGTTTTCTCATTTCAATTCAATGTCATTGGTTGTTTGGCTTATTGTAGTTTTAAATATAAAAATCTTACTTTTCTAATAATTTCTGATACTTTCTTCCTTTTTAGAAGGTTGGCTTTGTAGATCGGAAAATTTCTTCGCAATTTTCACTTCTTTTTCAACTGATTCCTTTTTTTTTATTTTACTTTAATGAGTTAACTGACATACATTTTTTGCATTAATGACATTAAAATGCATTAATGACAAGTTATTGGTCAAAATGTTTGTCTTAACGTAACCTTACTTTGTACGACAATATCCTTCAATATCCTTGAAGATTCTTAAAGATAGTGATATTGTCTATGACATTTCTTTTTCCAAGCCTTCAATCACACGTGGGAGTATGTTGAAGAAGACAAAAATAAGAAAACAAAATAGCAAAAAAGAAACAATGTTAGCTTTGGTTGTGTATTTTTGAAAGCTTCAAGGTTGAGATAAGCCCGAAAGTTATCTAAATAAAGTCCTCTATTATTTTAGAGGACAAATGACTTACCTAATACAGTAAAACCTGTGTAATTCCATTTCTGTCTAAAACTATATTCTGTATCTGACAAATACTTTATCGATTAAGTAGTGTATATTGTAATATGAAAAATCTAACCTGGGTAAGTCGTAACCTTGCATTTTAAATTATTTATTTTTTATTCTAGTTTTTAACAGTAATTATTTTTAGGATTATTGGTGAATGGCCTAATACTTACACATTCACAAAAGCCCTAGCCGAAAACTTGGTCAAAGATCTTGGAAAAAACTTACCATTAGCAATATTTAGACCGTCAATAGGTATGTACATAATCAAACTTTATAACAAAGTCAATTTATGTAATTAAAATATAATAACTTTTAATTATTCTTTTTATGTATTGAAATACTTTGAAACCAGTAAAACAAATAGATGTTGCATTGTCTGAAGAATATTTAAAATTTAGTGTTTTTTTTTTTAATTCTGTAATTGACCTAGATTCTATTGATATAATTTTTATCCTCAACGTAAATCATTATCAGTTTTTCTAGAACTGAGTCTAAAAAATTAGTCGTTATCATTATTGACTGTACAACTGTAGTTGTCTAGCATTTACTATTTTTCTCCACTATTGCTGGTTTTGTGAAGTTATGCCCCATTTTTGGTAGATTGATTATTATAAGATCCTTCCATCTTTTTCTTGTGCAACTAACATATCTTCTACCATCGGACTTTTTTCAAAATGTTATGTTAAGTAATCTTACATCACTCGATCTTAATACATGTCTCGCTTATTAGATTTGCCTTAATGTAGCATACTGTTTTTATATCCATAGAGTATCTGAAACTGCTGGTTATATCTTCTTATATATTCAAAGCGGTAATTTCTCGCTTCCGTATAGTATTGTGGAGAGAATTATAATTTTATTTACTTGTGTTTTTGCTGCTCTTGAGAGTATTCTTGATTTAAGTATTGTCGTTTGTTAGCAGCTCTGGTAGATTTGCATTTGTGTCCACATCGTCAGCGAAAGTCAGTAATAATTTTGAATGAAGCAAGATCTTTGCTTATAGAATAATAAGCTTGCTTAAAATCTACACATTATTAATATACCTCGTAGTTATATTCCCAATATTATAGACGTTACTTTCTAATCTATATCTCTATAATCTCCCAAAGTTTTTTTGGGTATCGCTTAAGAACCACTTTTTTTATACACCTTAGGATTTTGGAATGCAGTAGCCGTAGAAATAATTTTCACTGTCTTAGAATGTGTGTGTGTGCATTAAATAAACAAATCAAGAGTTGAAATGTCTTGTCGGGGATGAGATCTTCCATCTTACTCAGTTTAGAGCATTTCCCCCACAATTCAGACCAACATGGACAGAAACGAATTATTTAAATAATAATGGATTTACATATATACGACGATTAAATAATTTACTGTTTAAATGGCATCGTCGTTCGTGTCCCTGTCGTCACATATTGGCTATCATCATGCCGAGAATATGCTGGCACCTTTCTTTATAAGAAACCGCTATAAATATATTATTCTGAGGCCTGTCTATTCTCAGGTTACATAAGTAACCAAGTCCTACGCCAAATCCATCGTCTAAGTGTAACTTTCCCTTAAATAGTGAGTTCGTATGTCTTCTGACAATATGATCAAAGTATTCCGTATTACTTCTTTTAATTATATTTAGCCGTTCCCTGTCTCCATTAACCATTCCAAGTACTTAATATCACTTCGTTGATAGTGTGTCTTATCTATATAATTTGGTGATAGCATCTTAGTTCAAATAATTCCAAGTTATTCAAAGTTATAAGTGCATCTTACATCCAAGGATAGCAAGATTGACCAAATATTTGAGACCAATATTTGAGAGTTCTATTGTGACGTATTGAGACAGCCTTTTAGAAGCAATGAATGACAGCAGGATTGACCATAGGTATAGTGAGCTTATTTATAATATTTACAAAAATGCCACTATGACTGTTAAAATAGACAATAAAACCCGACCAATAAAAATAAATCGTGGAATAAGGCAAGGAGATACATTGTCGCCGAAATTATTCATAACGGCATTAGAATATGCCTTTAAGATAATCAATTGGGACCACAGAGGAGTAACGAGAGACGGCGAAAAGCTTAACCATCTCCGTTTCGCAGATGACATTGTCCTTATCACAGATAATTTAGGAGAAGCTACAGATATGTTAAACGAATTGGATTTTGCATGTTCGAAGGTGGTGGGCCTGAGAATGAACTTGACCAAAACTAAGTTTATGACAAATTTGGTCCCCAATAACCATTTGACTATTCAAGACAAAGTGGTAGAACTGGTGGAGAAATATACGTATTTGGGTCATGAAATAAGAATCAGCAGGGATAACCAAACATGTGAGATCCAAAGACGAATTACTTTAATATGGGCAGCCTTTGGAAAACTGCGAGACACACTTAGGGCCAACATACCAATCAGCCTCAAAAGAAAAGTGTTTGACCAATACGTATTACCGGTCATGACCTATGGGGCGGAAACTATGACTTTAACCAAGACCACGGCTTCAAAACTGAGAGTGGCACAGAGACGAATGGAACGGTCTATGCTGGGGGTGACGTTGAGGGACCGAATAAGAAACGAAGATCTGCGAAGAAGGACGAGTATTACTGATGTTGTGGAACGCATAGCGGAACTAAAATGGAACTGGGCAGGCCATGTAGCGAGAATGCACGATTCACGATGGACGAGCAAAATTACAAATTGGAGGCCAAGAGCAGACAAACGCAGTAGAGGAAGACCACCTACACGTTGGGCCGACGACATCAGGCGTATCACTAAAAATTGGCAACAAAGAGCACAAAATTGTGAGGAATGGAGGAGTTTAAGGGAGGCCTATGTCCAGCAGTGGACGTGATAAATAGAGGCTGGATGATGATGATTGTGACGTAGCATATAGATATTTCTAACTACAATAAAACATTTTACAAAAAAATTTACACACATTTACACAAGAAAAAAGCTTACGTACGATAGATTTCAACCAACACACAAGTACGATACGATAATTACAAGGTAGTAAGAATTAAAAAATGTACTTGTAAAAAGAAAAAAAAAACAATCACTGTGAACGCGTTTTGAAAGAAATAAAGTATGATTTTTATGGCATACAAGATGAAATATGACGCTTTATAAGAAGTCTAAAATGGAAAAAAAGGAATGAATAGACCCGAAACACATAGAAAGGGATACATGGAATGACTGTCAAAAGAAGCTATATTCAGAGAAACTACCAATGGTGCTAGAGCCGGAAACAGCAGAATATACCACAAACAAAGAAGTTTGTTGAAGAAGAAAAAACACCCAGAAAGTAAAAAAATACTTGAAAAGCTGCAGGTGAACAGGAATACCAAACGAACTAAACAGGATAAGCTTAGCATATGAATAGCAAGGTTTTCGTATTGAAACATTGTGTATAGATTTAATATTCGTCATAAAACAAATTTCCGAGAAATCACTAGAACAGAACAATTCTACCCTAGAACAGCATTTTTGTGTCTGATTGACTTGAAGAAACATTTGACAGAGTAAGACCCAAATCTATTTTGTTTAAAGTAATAAAGTTCTCTTAGATAATCATAAAAACTATTGAAAATATCTACCAAAATTACAAAATGTAAGTCAGAAAATATGGACAGTTATAGAACCTATAGACAAAGGCAACATCATTAGACAGGGGTGTTAATTAAGCCATTTTCTTCAACTTAATCAATGGAAGAAATGATCAAAAATCTACAAAGAAAGGGTATACAGAATGGGAAAGAAAGAAGTAAAAATACTCTGACAACGCAACATTATTATTTCAAGATGAAGAGAGTTTACAAAGACTAATTTATAGATTTTACACAAAAGCAAGATTTAACTCTGTCTTATTGCACGTTTACTATAGGATTTCGCACTCAATAATTTTTTGAATATCTCTTTCAAGTATCTTCCGATTTATTATACATTGTTAAAGATAACATACTCTTGTTTTACCCATAGTTTGATTTTTATTATTATTTGATATTACCAAAATTATTTTAATAACATGATATTATAGGTAATCCAGCTATTTCCATCTATTCAAACAAAAAGCCGTGCTGTACACAATCCAATGCTTCTGTAAACATGTGAATCACTAATAAAGTTGCATTAATATTAACATAGTGTTAAAATGTCTTAATCTGTTTTATTAAGTTTAATATTTTTATAGTTGTTACAATTTTATTCAGCTCTTTGCACTGGCTTTGTAAATACTTTCCTTTTTCTTTCAAAACCATAGGAAAGAAATGTTATAAGAACTTACTTTGCTAAACTTGCTCTACAATCAAGCTGGTAGTAATAAGCATATATTTTTCAACTGAATTTTTTTTAATTACCAGTGTTGATACACTTTCTAGCCAGGGCGAAGGATAGGGGAGAATGGAGACAAATTCTTGAACAGGCCGCGACCCACCCAGGGTTGTAGAGCCAAAGATGATTATGATGATGATGATGATGATACACTTTCCATCTGCAGTGATTTCTTGATTTACACCTACAGGTGCCTTACCGATATTTTTTTACCAAGGAAAGATGAAACAGGCCTATATTGGATATATCCGTTGATGGGTCTACTTGTATATTTCCTTTGGTGCCGTACTTTATCGTCTATTTACCGATTTAACTGTTTTATTAATTGAAAATTGTATGATTGTGAAAGGTTGTTTTCCTTCTAAACGAAAACGAAAGTCCAGACTTTCGGTAAAGTTTAGGAGAAAACAAACGGACTATTATGCGTAAATTCCTCCAGACAATGCAACAAACATTATATCGTGAACTCAAAAGTTTTGCAACAATTTAAAATACTTGATTTTCTGTTAAATACATTATTATAATATTATTAATAATATAACATATTTGGAATTAATTACTTAAATGTTTTGAATGGGTAAAGAAATAACAAATAATACTTACTCACAATCAATTTAATTTAACTATCCAGACGACCGGTTTCGCTTTCTACAATATGCAGAGCATCTTCAGGTCTCAATACAAAGTTAATAAATGCTGAAATAATAATAAACCCATATTAGGGTGTTGTCTAATAAAGATGAACAAAGTAGATGCTATAAATTACAGTAATTATGCCAATATTATACGTCTGTGGTTTTTCAAAATGAATAAAAAGGAATAAAAAAGTATAAAAAGTTTTAACAGACAAGGTAAGACCCACAAATTGTTATAAAATAGTCTATTAAATTGTAATAAATTAATAAATGAGCAAATAAATAAAACA